AAGAACAAATCATCCAGTACTAAACAAAGGAAAACCAGACTGTTCATTGGAAACACTAAACATGAATCTAAAACTCAACTGTTTGGTAAAGATAAAGCAAATGCAAGAGATCTTGGAAAAGACCCATATGCTTGGCAAATCAAAGGCAACTGAAAAAGAGGCTAACTGAAGACAAGATGGCTAGATACTATCACTGATGACACAAACATAGGCTTTCAAAAACTCAAAGCAGTTATTGGCAGACAATCCAGGAAAAATGGATTGAAAATGACTGAATTACCAAACAACATCAAGATCTCAAGGCCCTGTTTCTACTAATTATCTGATTCTTAATTTCCCTGCTTGTCCATTACTACTACTTGATACTCTTTTCTTGTCAACAATGTAGCCACTTACTATTCTATAAGATGTTTGTCTCAGTTTGCTCTTCAATTTTTCTTGTAAAAACAGAATTGTCTATCAACATTTTACAGCTGTTTTCCCTTTAATATCAATACTAAACTGCAAATAACCAATCTATAATATCACACAATTTATCCCAGGATTCCTGATGGTGTAATTGAGTGGGGTTGCTCTTTGTTCATCCTAATGTATCAGAACACAGGAACAGAGAATTTTGGGGTTTGGTATGGCTTGAGACACTGTACAGAATAAACTGTAATTACTGTTTGATAATACACTATAAATAATGCAAAGAATGGGAATATATTACAGTTTGATATATATATGCTAGTGATAATTAAAATTGTTATTATTAGAAAATATGGCTTTTTAAAGAGAGAGTTTAACATAAAAACAGGCTTGCTGGATTAGATGCAAACCTATTTAGTCCTGTACTCTGTTTTTCACAATGAGCAGTTAAATATAGCGGGGACACCTAAGACAGTCCATAGAATGCCTTTTAATCTCATGAAATGTAACAATGCATAGAAATGCAGTAATGCTGTGGTGCCCGCCTTATGGAATATCCTTACTCCCAAGATTAGATTAGTGCCATCTCTTTTGCTATTCTGGAAAGCCTTCAAGACCTGGTTATACGATCAGGCCTGGGGCCTCCAGGGAACCAGAGACCTACTTAGATGGCTCCTTTGCTGAGGGGGTCATTTTTATTCTCCCTCCTTTATGGTTTGTATCTTGGTTTTTATGATATTTATTAATGTGGTTTTTATATTTTTCATGTTGTTTTTTATGATATTTATTAATGTGGTTTTTATATTTTTCATGTTGTTTTTTATGATATTTATTAATGTGGTTTTTATATTTTTCATGTTGTTTTTATATTTGTTTTTATCTGGTTGTTGTATGCTGTCCAGAGTAGCTGTATGGGCGGCTATATAAATTTGCTTAATAAATAAATAAATAAAATAAACAAATGCAAATAAGAATGGAACATACTGCAGCTATACCAATGATCTAGTCATCTTTTTAACATGACTATTGGAATATTGAAAAAAATACTCTAAATCAGAAATAAAACAAACACTGTTTTAATGTGCTACCTCAATACAGGGTGAAAGTACAAAATTTCAACAACTTTTTATTTAGAGAATCTAGCAGAGAATGTAAACTATTTCTTTGTTGAATATTCCTAAGAAAGATCATGTGAACATTAACCTTAAGTAGCTTTCCTTAACCACATGCCTCCAGATGGACTGCAATTCCAAGAATTCTTGGACCATAATGGCACCAAGAAATGCCTCAAAAAGCAACCAAAAGATAGTTGAAATAGTCATGAGACTTGGTGGGGAGGAGTGGAGGAAAGGCCCGATATTTTAGAGTTCTTTTTGTTAAATGTGTTTATGAATATTCCAACAAGTGTTATCAGTTGCAAATCATGCCTAACTTTGCAATCACAAGATCTAGATGCTGAAGGCTAATATTTATGTGTGGTCACAGAGTCAGAATCAAGGCACAAAGTACTATAAATTATTGGTAAAAAAAACAGTATAACTGAACAAAATACTTGGGTCCACAGCCTTTCCCAAGGGCACCAAGTTGGGCAAGGCTGATCTAAAGGATGAGTCCAATGCTGGCCTTTATGACACCGCACATCATAAGATATGCGGTAATAAGATTAGATTGGGCCCAACCCTACTGGATTTTCGGAAGGCTTTAAAGGCTTGGATGTGTTCCTGGGTATGGGGGCTGCAGGTTAGTTGAAACCTGTGTGATGTTATTTTACTGTGGATTGGGTTTTGCCTTGTTTGTCATTATAGGTTTTATACAGTATATTAGTTCTTTTCTAAGTTCATTTTGTATTCTGTTTTTATATGGTGTTAGCTGCCCAGAGTCACTATGGAGAGATGGGCCAACTACTTTGGTCTTTGCTACATTAATGTTCATATCCACATTTCTTCTCCCATCATATAATCAAACATTTGTTCTAACTCACAGACAACAATACGGCATCATCTGCATACAAAGATGCATATATTAATGTCCATGTTAAACATACAGTACCTCTAACAACTGTTCTTTATATATTTATTTATAAACACATTGATAACCAAGGGACATCACACATTCTTGTCTTATACCTTGCTCAATGTTGAACCATTTACTGAACATTCTTTATTGTCCTGCATGCTTTAGTTCCATCATATATTGTCCATATTTCATTTAACTTTCAGTTCCATTTTAATGAAAAATATTTCCACTTTAGTGCAAAATTTCCATAATTGAAGCTCATTCACTATACATGCTTTCTGTAAAACAACCAATGTACAATTTACTTTCTTTCTCATGTTCATATATTTATTGATGACCTGCTGAAGAGCAAAAATCTGCTCTGAATATCCCATCTGGTATAAAGCAAAATTGCACTTCCCAAATTTTGCCTACACCCCATACTTTCAGTCAGAATTCTGCCAAACACTTCCACAGTTAAGCCCCATAAACAGATCCCCCCATTATTTTTGCATTCATTCTTATCACCCCTCTTGTGTTCTTCCAGTTGTCCAGTATGAATGAAGTTTTCACATGCACATAATTACATTGTAATTACATTGATAATCCATAAGCAAATTTCCATATTTTACAGTTACATCATCTATTTCTGTAGGCTTACAGTTTTTCAACATTCTCACAATATTTATGACTACTTTTTCATCATTTTTTCTTTAACACTAACATTTATAGCATAAACTTAAATTCCAAGCCTTCACATATCACTTCCATTCCAATACATATCTATAATACTCCTCTCAGCATTCCTTCAGGTTCTTTCTAAATAATTTCATTATTGTCATTTCCATTCACTCTGCTGGAAGCTCATTGTTTAGTCCTCTTTGACAGCTTTTAAAACAATTGATTTCTATCCAAATTGCTCTACATTTTCTCTGCTTCTTTTAATTTAACTGTACCTTTCCTTGCAGTCACTTTTTTCCCTCTATACATGTTTCTTGATTGAGGCAATCTTTCTCTTATATGATTTTTTCTTATCCACAATATCTTTCACTTCATCATTCAAGCAAGAATCCTTTTTCACACTATTAGTGTAATTCCACACAATTGTATGGTACTTAGTAACACAATTATTTACTCTCAATTTCAGATACAGTAGCTTCCACATCCTCTTTCCTCATGTTCACTTTCTAGTCATTTTGTTCTTTCATTATCATCATTTACTGGAGTGTAATATGCAACTATAACTAACCTATCAATTCTTACTTTCATAAACACCAACTTTCACACGCACCTATCTAGGTGACACCAGTTCATACTTTCTGACATATATTTTAGCCCTTTTATTCATGGGCACCTGAAAGCTTCTGTTGCTTTCATCAAAGTGATGTTATAATGGACATAAAAAGGGCTGAGGCTTGTGTTGTGATTGTGCAGTGTTTTCATCAGTGACCCATTTGACCACCCCTGTGATGCTGCTGCTTTGTTTATAGTTAAGCCTACACCTTCACTTCTATACATGTATTCATTAACTATATACTGAAATCAGACCACCTCCAATCAGATCTATTACAATTTTCCCTTTTCTCTTAGTTTCACCGGCACACACCATATCTATATTTTTTAAAAATTCATTCATTCATTCAAGCTCTGAACAATTTATTCTTCTTACATTCCAGGTTAAATTCCTCCATACATTATGGTCATCAACAGAATGGCCCATATTGACTTCAGCTACCCATAATAGTTTTGGTCAATCAAGATTTTACAAAGTATTCTTAGTCAGAGGGCAAAAGTAGATTAAAGTAGCAACCTCAGTTATAATAATAATGCCACATGCAGCCTTCCCTACTAGTGGTAAGGTCAGTATTGGTCAGTTTTGTCATTACTTGATTGATATACCATAAGCCAATGTACTGCTTCTCATAGGATATCCCATCAACTAGGAGGCACATGTATACAGTACACTGATACATTCAAGATACTGGAATTCTTAACGAATCATATCTCCTCTGCACCAGGAGTTTTGATTTATTCTACCTGTCCTCATCTCCACTAGTGATCCCAGGACTAGGACTGTTATTAATACTACTTTTATATGTTCGTTAAAGTTCGTGCAAGATCGCTTGGCACCTCTCTGCCCAATACCAGAACTTAGACTTTGAGAAAGGAGAAGGAAGGATGGCCGAGAACTGAGACGGGAAGCTAGAAGTAATAATCGTAATAAACGCTCCTAGAACAGCGGCAGAGCACGTTTTCACATCCCCGCTTGATGTCCGACTGATGATGCACACGTGATATGTTCCTTTCCGAAGAAACTCTCTTCTCCAGCCTTTCTTTAAACCGCGGCCGCGCCAGTCAAAAGGAGAAGAGACACGAAAGGGAAGCTACGACGAATCAAAGCAAAAACCAGCGGCGGTGTGGCCTGGATCAGCAATCCAATTGGTCGCTCTACACATCTAGTAATCTCTCCTTCCCATTCATTCGGACGTGCTTCTTTCTCTTCCAGCCAATCGCAGATGCAAACGAAAGCAAGGAGGCGGGGTTGTTTACTGCGCAAGGGCCAAGGTGCCTTTGGGCGCGTGGGTTGCCGGTCTCATTTCTGCCCGCTCGGAGGTGAGGCGGCCGTCGCTGGAAGGCTGCCGCTGAAAGCGGAACCTTGAGTTGCCCCGTTGTAGGGCTCGTCAGATGGAAGCGCCGGGTATCTTGGACGGACTCTCGTCCCGGTTGTTCCCTGGCCGCGCGGGGCGGGCTCCGCGGCGTTTTGGCTGGGTTCTTCCTACGACTGTGCTGTGTGGCTACGGTTTCTTTGCCAACTTGCGACCGTCGGAACCTTTTCTCACGCCTTATTTGTTGGGACCGGACAAGAACCTCACCGAGACCCAGGTGAGATGTCTTCTCTCATTCGGTTTTCTCGATTGCTTAATCTGTAGGACTAGGACGGCGCGTCGCCTTTGTTATCTCTGGTTTCGACGCTCATTAATAGGAAGAGTATTCTGCAACACGTGCAGGGAACTTTTCTCGAGTGGTTTTTTTTTTTAAGTTTGGAGGTTGTGTAGCCAACAATTTATGGTTTAAAGATTTACGCTCAACTTTGGGGATTGAATGAAGTGCTCCAGCCTGTGAAATCAGAATTATGTGCTCTGTGGAGTCGTGGGAAAATAGTGTAATGGGCTGGAGAGGAATGTGGCATAGGATAAATAGCAACAGTTATATCTGTGATCTTTGTCCACAGTTCCTGAACATACAGGATTGTTTCTTGTGGTGTTATGGCAGTGAGCACTGACAGGGTTTAAAGAAAATTCTTGGTTTTGTGAACCAAAAGACTGATGTTTGTAAACTATCCAACCTTAGTGCAGTATCTGAATGGGACCTATGACTTAGAAGCCTTGACTCATCTGATATGACTCAGCTGACTTTCATGCCTAAGGCAGAGCACAGGTTTCCCTGTTCCTAATCCATCAATTTAACCTTGAGTTAAAATCCATAGTCCTGAACTGTAGCTTTCTGAAAATAATCTGCTAGAGCTACTGTAGTGTGCCGGTGAGGATGTTTAGCTTAGTTTAGAGACACCTAACTTTAAAGCATGTCTATCTTGGGTACAGAGATCACTGAGTGACCTTAGGCCAAATGCTGGCTCTCATTTGGAACACAATATAAAGAGAAACTCATCTGTTTTGGATATAAATGTTATACATAGCAAAGCAAGCATCCTCTGTATTCTTCTTGTTCACAGCTATTGGCCTTTGTTTTTAATAAATTTATAAAGTGTTCAGCACACTCAGTGCAGACCCATAAAGCATAGCTTACACATATTGGCTGGTGTGGGGAGCTTATATAGAGGTTTGGCATATGCTTTGAATGTTTGGAGACTGTAGCACTTGAGCTTGTCTCTGAATAATGTCACTGAGTAAAGTACATGCAAGAATCATCATTGCAACTGTTTCCTGAAGTGAAATGTGCCAACTGTTTCAGGTAGCATTTTTCCAGTAGTAAGTTCATCCTTCCAATCCTTAAATGATTAAAATACCACCATCTATGCATAAGGGAAGAGCTTGTGGGAACTCTAAGATTTGCAGAAGTAAAAAATGTTAGTTTGCCCCTGCAACAGCAGACCTAAGCACAGCCAGTAACCTTGGATTGTTGACTGTTTCGTGGAAGATATAGATGGGTCAGGTAGGTGAAACACTGAACAGGTCATTGTAACATTTCATTGCAGATCTCATTTTGAAAGGCAAATGTTCAGAATGAGTCATAAGAATTTCTGTTGACATAGAGTTGTTTGGTATTGTAGGGTCAAATTTAAATGTTGTCCTAAAACCCCCAAATTGTGTAAGTAGTCTGGCGACTATGCAAACTAAACAATGTTTAAAGTATAATTTGCTTAACATGCTGAACTTTTCTTTATATCTTGTTCTGATGACATGAGAAGAAAAGCTTAAACTTCATGGAAAACTTATGTAGAATGGCAAGAGAAGATATTAACCATTTTTCTAAGCTTTACACACTGTTGGGAAATGTTCTAATTAACTCTGCTATGCTTCCGAATAATTTCCAGTATTTCTGATTATGCAAGCAAAATTGTTACTAGGCACTTCCCTTGGAATAGGATTATTGAACTCCATTAGTTTTACTTCTGAATAGACCTAGACAGGGTCTAGATAGACAAGGATTTAAGAATGTGTAGAGGAAGATTTTCAGTGGGATATCTGGCCATCAAAGAAGCATCTGATGTAGAATTTGTGAAGCATGGCACAAACCATTTTTAAGGTGGATAACTCTATTTCATGAATACTGATTATGATATTTTTGAACAGTTTTGACTTTATGCAATTACAGTGCATGCAGCTTTTGCAAATTATGTTATCTGGATGGCTGCAGATTACAAAACAACTTAACTGGGTTTTTTTCCTTGATGTTTTTGGTTTTTGCCAAGTGTAGATAAATTGGGCAACATGACAAACTCACACCACCATCCTCATTCATACATTGTGACTAAGCTATACTATAGATTCATAGGTTGAATAACCAACTAGTACAGCCATGTTTGACAGTGTTTCTCAAATATCTCATGCTTGGCCTGCTCTTCCATTCCATTTTCCCAGCATCAGTGATTTGTTCTCTTAATAAATATGCAAAATCCCCCAATGGATATCTGTGTAGCTTACACCTATTGTGTTCAAGAAGCTATAGCTTGAGGTATTAATTCTAACAACAGAAATGGGTGGAAGATAACCCATGACTAACTTTTTCTTATCTTTTTGTATTCATCTTTTTGAACTCCATTCTTCTGAAATCAAAGAACAATGTTGGGAACTAGAATATAATTTTCTCCTATAAATCCAGGTTGGTTGATAAGTGTCCTTTGCCAAGAGGCATCTATCCTAATGTTTTAGGAAATGGGAGAAATCTTTTCTCTACCTGGTATTCAGATGGTGCTGATTGGACTGACTCTCCTTTACCAGAAAGCAAAGCTAAGTCTGTTTTCTCTACATGGAGAAGTTTTAGCTGTGTCTTCTGACCAAAAGAGGTAGAGTTATCCATGTCCAGTCAGCTTCATCTTCAGTGACCAAGAAGTACTGTAACCTCTTACCTGTAATTAATTTTAATTAATTTAGATTGAATGTAGGTTTTATTCAGTTCTGATCACTTCTTGGCCCTGGCTCCACCCACTTTTTGGAACACACTTCTAGTATGGCTTACTTGGCCTTCACAAATGCCAAGTTGCACATTTCTCTGTTAAAACATTATGGATTTTATTGTAGAAAGGGAAATGTTTTAAAATAAAATCAGTTTTCAAATATTGTTAGGATATACTCAAGTATTGTTGCTCAGATACTTGTTCCCATATTGTGAATTTTCCATTTTATAAAGTTAATATCCTCTTTTTTTTTGTAGGTCTTCAATGAAATTTATCCAGTATGGACATACTCGTATTTAGTGCTGCTGTTCCCTGTCTTCCTGGCCACAGATTATCTCAGATACAAGCCTGTCATCCTTCTGCAAGGACTAAGCCTTATAGTGACGTGGTTTATGCTTCTTTATTCCAAAGGAATTCTAGCTATTCAGTTCCTAGAATTCTTCTATGGATTAGTGACTGCAACAGAAATTGCTTATTACTCTTACATTTATAGTGTTGTGGACTTGAACTTGTACCAGAAAGTCACAAGCTACTGTCGAAGTGCTGCCCTTGTGGGTTATACCGTGGGCTCTGTCAGTGGGCAAATCCTGGTGTCTGCTGCAGGATGGTCCCTGTTCAGTTTGAATGTGGTGTCACTAATTTCTGTATCTATTGCCTTTGCAATAGCTTGGTTTCTGCCCATGCCACAGACAAGCTTTTTTTTTCACCATCACTCAAGCTTCCAGGTCAGTAAGGAGATGAAGGTTTTAAATTATAAAAATGGAACAATTATCCAACATGGTCCTGCGTTAAAGAGGGTTCCTGGGTGGGAAGATGTTGAATCGAAGGTTCCCTTAAATATAGAAGAGCGTCCTGCAGAGGAGCAGGTAAGCAGTACTGCTTTTATGGTGAGGTGTATGTGGAAAATATGGTCTGCCACTGAGCACATATCTTCAGTTGGGTTAATTGGCAATGATCAAAAGCCTATTCTACCTTTGTTGTTTCTGTTTGATCATTTCAAATTCTGGTGATGGGGTCTTAAGCGTAGTTATGTTGGTGGGATCCTATTGCCTGCCAAAACAAAGACATTTTAGAATATAAACCAACCAAAAATGTCAATATGTACAAAAAAAAATCTGGTTATTTGGGGGGAAAGTAATTTTTGCAAAAAATAGTGATGTCACTTTACTTTGGAAGACAGGCTCTTAGCTATATAAGAATAGAATCTTCCAAGAAGAGTTAAGGAAAGCTGTGGCTAGTCTTTAGGAAAATGTCAACTATAAATCCAAGAATAGAGAGTAAACAATTTAGTTTGGTAAGAATAGAGATTCTGTTTCATGGAGAAACTTCAAGAAGATTTGCAAAATGTAGTGAACCCTAAACAGGCATTTTAGCAGACTGGAATATATTGCTACATTCCCATCTGCTACATACTGTGGTCACTGTCAGAAATTCTACATCCCCAAATATCTCAATCACTTATCTGAAATATTTCCACCATAGCTTGTTAAGAAGGCTCTCTGTTTCTGTAAGTTTTCAAATGAGTTTCTTTGTGCTAATAGATATTTCATCCTGTCTAGGTAGCTGAAATCTCACATTCTGCTAAACCATGGCTTATTTCAACCATGATTTGTTGAAAAAATTACACTGGATGGGTTCATAATCTTGCTAGGACAAAATCAAGCAAACTTTAATGGCTTATTGTAGGAATCTCCAATTGTTACAAAAGCTGCAACACTGGAACCTTTTTGTACATTGATTAAAAAAAAATCTCTTGGGTTGCAGATGAAGAATATAATGGTATGTCACTAAACTTAAAATTACTAAATTAAAAAAAAACACTTTACTGTAAAACTAGGCTACTTTTTTCCATTTTACTTGGGTTGATTATTTGGCAGCATTTTTCATTAACCAGAACACCAATATTTAGTTTCCTTTTGTTGAATAACAGTATAAAACTCTTGAACCTAATCCTCTGAAACTTGATAGGAGCGATACTCTCAGAAGAGGCAATTATCCCAGAAGTTAATTTCCAATTCTGCCAAGAAATAAAGATGGCAATTCTCAAATTAAAAAAGAATTGTGTTCACATTGGCATGTATCACCCTTTCACAGAAGGCTATAATTCCCTCAGATTTAGCTGAACATCAGATTACTTTTAATGGAAAGGCACATTTTGTCACACAGAGAAAAAAAAGAAATTGCCACTTGGCATACTTCAGTTATGATTGATGGAGAAGCATGGTGATTTGAGTGTAAAAGTTAACCTCATCTACCTTAAAGGGCTAACATGAGTAGAAAGTAGCTAACCTCAAGCAGAAATTGAGACCAACCTGTTTGGGAGGGAGACAGAATTTGGTGCCAGGAAGGGGTTAGGTCAGTGCTGGAGCCCCCCATCGAGGTATGGCTCCTGAGTGATGAGTGAGGAAGAGTCTTCAGGAAATACTCTGTGGAGAGTGCAGCAGCTTCTTATCCTCAACTCCAAACTGAAGATTGAGGAAGCTCAAACTGATAGTGAAGAGACGGGAAAACAGCACCCCTCCCGGGCCTGCCACTAG